AGCCGCATTAATGCGGAAAAAAAAACCAAATCAAATCCGATAATATCGACTATTTCAGTCAAGAATCCATATTAAATCTCATAATCACAAGTATTTCAGTAAAGCCATTCATTTATGTCGGTGCAGTGTGACCTGACACCATTTTCTGGATTGTGTTGTTATGTGCCAAGATAACGTTTATGTTTGATAACATAATAATTGATATGAATTTGATGTAAAATAGATGGTATACCTTTGTTTATTTAGTCTATTCCTACCCTCTTTATCTAAGAGCTTAACTATCAATCATAAACATAAACTCAATATTTTAAAAATGGAATCAATGATCAAATCGGTTTGACCCTTGAATCATAGTTGGACCGAATTATTGATAAATGTAGTAATACTCATATATAAAGGATAAAAAGATAATAAGATATAATTTTTTTTGAAAATAGAATGAACAATATAATTTTGCCATTGTGAAAAAATATAATACAAGTTTGGCCCAATACTTTTTAGGTTTTCCTCTAAAATGAATAACCCTAAATTTGTTGTAAAACAATAACAATATCACGATTTTTTTCTTGGTAAGAAAATATATTATATAAGAGTACAAAAGGTACTCAAACAATATAAAATAGAGAAAAACAAGAATTTTCCAATAAATCAAAGGCTAAAGAAAACTAGAACAATGATTCAAAAGACATCTGACGGGTAATGAACACCAATCAATCCAACATAAACTCACATCATCCTTGTTTCTCTCGACAAACCAATTCCAACTCAAAACTTTAGCCGAATTTGTAAGAGCAAGAATTGTCTTTGCATGTTATCTCTATGTTTTGATGATAACAATTAAGTATTTGTGAAAGAAACATTTTATGTTCTAATGTTTGTTGTGTGCAGATCGTTAAATTCAGATATCAAATCAACAAACAATATCAAGAAGTGCATTAAATTCAATATGGAGTTACTTTGTGTGACGTGACATAAAGCGCTTATTAAAGAAGCAAGTGTGCCTCTGTATCTGATTACAATCAGAAAGTTACAAGGATGCTGTATATTGCAGTTGCAATGCTCCTGTGGATTCTGTTCTGTGAAGTGCATCTGATCTGAAAGCAATCAAAGCGTATTGGAGAAGCAAGTATGGCTCTGTATCTGATCACAATCAGAAAGATCCAAAGATGTTGTATATTGTTGTTGCAATGCTATTGTGGATTCTGCTCTGAGAAGTATATCTGATCTGGAAGCTATCAACTCATCTGAGATATAGTCCTCTGAAGAACCAAGCTCTGAAGACTCTGATGACTTGAAGTTATAAAGGCTGAAGGCTCTGAAGACCAAGTGCAGAAAGACTCTGAAGACTTAAGGGTTCTGAAGATCAAGACTCTGAAGATATAATACTCTGAAGAATTACAAGCTCTGAAGACTCTAATAACTTGAAGCTCTGAAGGCTGAAGGCTCTGAAGACCAAGTGAAGAAAGACTCTGAAGACTAGATTCTGAAGATAAAGATTATGTAGCTTCACCCAGATGAAGACGCGTTAATCAGATAAGCTGTTGCTATCAACTCTGATAAACAAGGTGCTGAAGTCAGACTCTGATGTTATTACGCTATCATTCCAAAGTAGTTTCTGAACTACTCATCTGATACATCATCAGAAGAACCAAAGCCAGAAGCTGATCTGTCCAAGCTAATAAATGAAGATCACATCATTTATGGATAAAAGCTGTTTCCCACAATGATATATTAACGTTGCAAGAAAAGGAAGAGAAAGTGATGTCAGTACTATACAACACGTGAGTATTCTATCCATTGGGAAATGACCGTTGGAATATTTGAATGGACATCTCTACCCTCACAACGTCTCTTTTGAATGCACTATAAAAGAAGAACATTTGATTCATTCAAATGTTAGCTCATTACAAAGCAAGCCAGCTTGTTACAAAGCAATGATGTTGACGAGTGAAGTTAGCAACATAGTTGATTAACAAGAAAAGCTTTATGCTAAGAAGCCGCAGTGCTCACATAGGAAAGATTTTAAGCAATATGGAAACTACTGTTCTAATAATCTCATAGAGATTCATCTTTAGATTAGTTTCTATATTAGGAAGCAAGGAGTTGTTGCTCAATACTTGTTATGTATTTAATTAGGAGTAATCTGCTTGACAAGAAACACTCATGTAATCTCCAGCAACACAAATTCAATTTTGAATTAGTGGTTCCTCAAGTGATCTTGTGAAGATCAGAATACTTGAGATGACAAGTGACAATTTTCATTTGTGGTATCCTAATAGGAGATCTTTTGTGATTAGATTCTATTAGATGTCAATGAACGTTATATCCTAAGGGATCCCTGAACGTGTCATTGTCTATTTGTTAGTCACCTGCAGTTATCTTGTGCAACTGTAATCAGTTTGGTTATAGTGGATTAAGTCCTTGCTTGAGTGAGGCAAAATCACCTTGGAAGGGTGGACTGGATTAGCTTGAGAGTTGCTCAAGTGAACCAGGATATATCATGTGTTCCTTAATTGTGCTATGTTTTATTATTTATGCTTCCACAATGCATCTTATAGAACTCTATAGGAAGCAACAAGTGAAGAAACCCATAAAAAGTTTTAATAGAGTAAATACCCAATTCAACCCCCCCCCCCCTTTCTTGTGTATTTCTCACACCTTCAGAATTAACCACATCAACCATGCAAAGAGTCAGATTATGAAAAACGACCTCATTTCTGGCCAGCCACAAAGCCCAAGAAACCGCTAACCATATCACCAAAATGAACCTTCTTGTGGATTCTACCATCAAGCAAACTCATAAAGCTACTGCAATTAATGTCTGATGTGTCTACAACGACTTGAAACGGTAAATCCAACCAGTTTTAAATGTGTTTCCAGACCTATAGAGCAAATGGGAATTCGTGAAATAGATGACCGTGATTTTCCTCGGCATCAGAATAGAAGACACAAGCTGAATTTTCAATACCATTGATAATTCCCCTTTTTGTTAAAGCGGCACGCGTCGACAACCGGTTCAAAATCAACCTCCACCCGAAAACTAATATAGTTCTAGGCACATTTGTAATCCAAAGCAACTTCAAAAGTTGAAGAATATTTAATTTTATCTGCACATCAATATAATACATTGCTTAAAGCACTTAGAAACTATTTTTGACAGAGAAACCATGTTTGCCCCTCCACCACACAAACAATTCGTTCTCCCACCGTTTCAGATTGATATCTTGCAAGATAACCATTAGAGACTGTAATTCATCTTCCTCGTCCGCCTGCAATGGTCTGTCAACCTTCAACTTCACCTCCCAATACCACCCGCCATCACACCAATCCCCCATGTTCGAAACCTTGATATTTTGATCAACCGCACGTGCATAAATCAGCGTAAACAACCTGTCCAGCAGCGAAGAACCCAACCAAGTATTTCTCCTAAATTCAATCATCAAGCCATTGCCAACTTTACACGAAATACTATTTGCGAACCAATTATAGTCATTTGCATCCACCACTCCTACTTGCTTCAAATCTCTCTATCATAAGGATTCAAACTTGTTAACCGATAGTTTTGTTGCGTCGAGCATTATAAATTTAATATCACCATATTTTGTTGATAATAGGTCCGACCATAATATGTTTCCTTCATTAAGAATCTGTCATTTCCATTTGCTTAAGAGAGAAAGAAAGATTAAACAATTCACAACGCCTAACTCATAAGCCACCTTGGTCCTTCAGTTTGCATACGAGATCCCACCTAATCCGTGTCTTTCCTCTTATCCGAATCACCGCCCCAAAGAAAATAATGTTGAATCCTAATGATTTCTTGAATAACGCATATGAGAGCCTTGTAAAAGGAGAAAAAATAGATAGGAATGGAATTTAACACAACATTTAATAGAGTCACACGACCTCCCATCGAGAGATGTTTCCCCTTTCATATTGGCAACCTGTTTCTGAGTTTATCCAAGAGTGAATTCCAAGCACTCCGTCGTCTCGGGTTTGCTCCAACAGAGATTCCCAAAAACTGGAAGGGAATGGAGCCAATGTCACAAGCCAGAAAAGTGGCAGCAGCCTCCAAGAATCCTTGTTGAAGGTTGAGGCTAATGAATTTACTCTTATTGAAATTGGCTAACAAACCCGACACCAATTCAAAACCACACAGTGCCGCTTTGATGGTCCAGAGATTGAGCCAAGAACCTTCCCCAACAAATAATGCATCATCCGCAAATTGAAGTAGATCAAAGCATAAATCGTTCGAAACCTTGAATGGACAAAACATGCTTAGACATCTCGCATTCTGCATCATTCATGTTAAACCTTTAGTCGCAAGCAAAAAGAGGAAAGGCGACAGTGGATTGCCTTGCCGTAAACCCCTCTCCACCATGAAATCTTTAGTTAGGCTTCCGTTTACCAAAATCGATATTGAACTTGAGAAAACACACGCCTCCATCTACTTCATCCACCTAACGCCGAAGCCCATTTGATATTTTGATTCATCACATCTCTCAAATAGTCTCATGTTACACCATCATAAGTTTTTTTGAAGTCGACTTTAAATAGCAAACAATTTTTCTTCATTCTCTTTCTCTTGGCGATATCCACAAGTTCATTTTTTGTTCTGCTGATGATGCATCACACATGAATATGAATTGTAAAACATATCTAATCTCTTGGCACATGCTCAATTTATCACACTTTTTTTTAGTTAACCAAATTTTAGACTCACATTATCTAATATGTGAGTTTTATTTCGCTTTGTTCTTGTAATCTTTTAGGGATGCGAACATTAATCGATTTTATACTATTACAATCTTTTGCTTAATTTGTTTACGTGGGACAGAGTTTAGAGCCACTTGAAACCACTGAGACTCCGGGCTGTGGTGTTCGTGCACACACCCTCTAGTTTCCAGCACTGCCATCTTCTTTTGTCCCAGCCCTGAACACCGTTAACCCCTTCCGCCGTGAGAACCACTCCGCAGCCAAAACCTCACCGCCCACTAACAACAATGATATCAAAGCGCCTCCTTCACCCTTCTCAATCCTCCTTCTCCATTCCCACCACTTTTCGCCCCTTTCACTTTTCTTCAACCCCCCAACCTAACAACCCCAATCCTCCTTATTCCCTTTCACAATCCCTTTCTCACTTCCACCGCACTCTCCAACAATATCCCAATTCACCACCCTCTTATTCATCCTGCAACACTCTCATAGACAACCTCCGAAAAACAAAACAATACCACCTTGTAATCTCTGTTCATTCAAAAATGGTCAGTGTTTCTGTTTTCCCCTGTTTTACTTCTTTATCTGCTTTGATTGAAAGTTTTGTCAATATCCAGAAACCAGGTTTTGCTCTTGGGGTCTTGAGCTTGATCATAAAGCGTGGCTTTCATGTTAATGTGTATAATATGAACCTTTTGTTGAAGGGCTTTTGTCAAACAGGTGGTAATGATTGTGATAAGGCTCTGGATTTGTTTTGTATGATGAAAAGGAATTGTGTTTTGCCTGATAGTGTTAGTTATAATACAGTTATTAATGGGCTTTGTAAAGATAAGAGATTGGTTGAAGCTAGGGGTTTGTTTGAGGAGATGAAGATCGGGGATTGTAAACCGAATTTGGTTACGTTTAGTGCTTTGATTCATGGGTTTTGTAAGAATGGGGATGTTGAGGAGAGTTTTGGATTGTTGGAGGAAATGGAGAAGATGGGTTTGGTAGCTGATGTTTTTGTGTATAGTGATTTGATTAGCGGGTTTTGTAATAGAGGTGATGTTGAGAGGGGAAAGGAACTTTTTAATGAGATGTTGAAAAAGAATGTTAGTCCTAATGTTGTCACTTATAGTTGTTTGATGCATGCTCTTTGTAAGAAAAAGAGGTGGCAAGAAGCTTCAAAAATGTTGGATGATATGACGGCTTGTAAAGTTCGTCCTGATGTTGTTGCGTATACGATTTTAGCTGATGGGCTTTGCAAAAACGGGAGGGCGTCAGATGCGATTAAAGTGTTGGATTTGATGGTTCAAAATGGGGAAGAGCCGAATAATGTAACATATAATGCTATCATAAATGGACTTTGTAAGGAAGGCCGGGTAGATGAGGCACTTGGGATTCTAGAAACTATGGCGAAGAAGGGGAAGAAACCTGATGTGGTTACCTACAACACATTATTGAAAGGACTGTGTGGTGTTGGAAAAATTGATGAGGCAATGGACCTTTTGAACCTATTATTAAGCAAGGAGTTTCATATAAAGCCTGATGTGTTTGCGTTTAATTTGGTAATTCAAGGACTTTGCAAAGAACAACGTCTTCATGATGCTAAAAGGGTTTATTCTACAATGGTTGAAAGAGGGTTCCAAGGTAACATAGTTACTTATAATAGTTTGATTGACGGTTATCTTAGTGCTGGAAAGCTTACCAAGGCATTAGAATTATGGAAATATGCAGTAGATTTGGGATTTTCCTCCAACTCAATGATCTATACCATCTTGATTAATGGTCTTTGCAAAATGCAAATGCTAAGTATTGCAAAAGGACTTTTCAATAAAAAAAGAGCTTCTGGAACTAGACCGACAGTAAGTGAATACAATACACTAATGGCATCTTTATGCAAAGAAAGTAGTTTGGAGCAGGCTAGGTTTTTATTTCAAGAAATGAGAAATGTGAATCATGATCTTGATGTTGTCTCATTTAATATAATAATTGATGGAACCCTTAAAGCGGGAGATGTTAAATCTGCCAAGGAATTGCTATTAGAGATGCTTAACATGGATATGGTCCCAGACTATATTACATTTTCTACGTTAATAAACAGGTTCTTAAAACTCGGGAAGTTGGAGGAGGCCACATCGCTTTACGACAGAATGGTCTCCTGTGGTCATGTACCAGATGCTGTGCTATTTGATTCTTTGCTAAAGGGCTATAGTATAAAGGGGAAGACCGAAAAGGTTATTTCCATGCTTCAAGAAATGGCAGATAAAGATGTTGTTCTGGACTCGAAATTAACTTCTACCATCTTAGCTTGCCTTTGTAACATCCCAAAAGATATTGATATAAAGAAGATACTTCCAAAATTTTCACAACATTCATCCTTAGGAGCTAGTGTCAAATGTAATGAACTTTTGATGAAACTGAATAAGATTCATCCAGAGCTTCAGTTATTTCTTGCATGATGATTTTCGCATACATTGAACGTGCTACCATGGTGCTCTTGTAAGTTATGTTTCGGCTTTCATTAAGTTAGTCATTGATAGTTTAGTTTTAATTCAGATTATATATTTCTGCTGATCCAGGGTGATTTTATTGTTAACTCGTGTATACATATACAAATATACTATTAAAAGTATGTTTTGGAGAATTTTTTTGTCTTAGTTGCATGGATATGTGAATGTGTATTAGTGTATATAATACAGTGACAGTAGAAACTGTCAGCTTACACAAGCATCTTGTATGTGGCATCGAAGACCCACAACCATCTTCTGGACTTGAGCGGTCATCAAAAACCTGCAACCATCTTCTGGATTTGGGCAATCATCGCAACTCAGAAGCTTTTTTTTCCCATTTTTTTTCAGGTTGTTGTCACCAACCAACCATATTTTCCCCCTTTTTCTTTTGATGTGTATTCTATCTTTTGCACCTTTTTTTATTAATTATTGCTTTGCATGCATGTAAATGTTAGGTACTCTATTCTACTAGTATTATGCTTTGTTGTCAGTGGACTCTTAATCCTTCCAGAAAGTTTAGTAGAAAGGAAAAATCATGGCAAGTATCATAAACATAAGCACAGAAGTTTGATAATAGTGCTTTAAAGGCCATTTATAATTTTGATAGATTTTGCGTGATTGTTGCTCCTCTCCCTAAGGAAGTTCTCTGTATTGATTGGTTTCAAATGACGCCTTGATGTGATTAGCATCATTGTGTTTGACATTATTGGGTATAATTTTTAGGTTTCCAAATGGCGGCTGAATGTGCTTGTGATAGATTGGTTGAGAAGGTTGTGGACAATAAAGGAGAGAGATACTGGGATTTATTTTCCTTTTTTGATGTTTCTTTTGGGGGTTTGGTTTACCATTGGTTCTGTAACCTTTGAATGCTTCTTTATCATTAGAATTGGTATTATTATTTATTTTCCCTTTTTTTCCAATGGTTTAAAATACAGAATGTTCCCAGTTTACATTTTATAGTGATTCAGTTTTTTGTACCTTTGTGCTAGCCATGTATGTAGGTTTTTTCTTTCTTTTATATCGGTCTCTATATGCATTTTCACATTTTCATTTCCATTTCCGTTTTAAAATGGCAGGGAAGCACAAATTTAGAATCTATCCAAATTTCAAAGAATCCTGGAGAATTTCTGATAGACTCATTTTTAGATGAAGGGAAATATTTCTGAAAATTAGAATATTTACTACGAGTATCAATGCTTCTATTCTATCCTTTTTTGAATCCAGGTGTTTCTCCATTGTATTGAGTTGCACAGGTAGTGTTCAAGTTATTAGGATAAACTCAAATGATTGTCAGCAACACTAATATCCTGTAAAATGGACTATTTGCATTAGTCTCGGCAGGGTAATAAAAAATCTTTTATGTTTCTGAGTTGGATTATGTTTTTTGTTTAGATTTATTCTTGACAAGAAAATTGGTATTGGACAATCCAAACGCATACAGTGCCAAGATACTAGTTGCAAATACTGTAATGGACACAGACAAGGTGAAGATTTACAGAGCCTGTGTCCATGTTGACTCCATTGCTAAAGTTGCTGAAATTGAAGGAGCTGAGAAAGAGAAAATGAAAGAAAAGATGAACAAGATAATAGGTCATGGCATCAAGTGTTTTGTTAACAGACAGTTGATATACAATTTTCCAGAGGAGCTCTTTGCTGATGCTGGAATATTGGCTATTGAGCATGCTGATTTTGATGGTATTCAATTGAGTGTCTGGCTCTGGTAACTGGTGGTGACATTGCTTCAACCTTTGACAACCCTGACCTTATTGAAGAGATTATGATTGAGGATAAATTGATTTAGTTTTCTGGTGTTGCAATGTAGCAGGTATGCACAATAATTTTGAGAGATGCCGCATACTTTTTCTTCTTTTGTCATTGTAAATTCCTGTCCAATGTTGTTCTTTTACATATTCAGGGACTCTAACTTTGATAACATATCATTTCAAGTCATCACGTTTGTAATTAAAGTATCATTTGTATTACAAACAAAAATTCATCGTCACAAATGACCATTGTATTCAATTTCTGGCTGGGTTTATCAAAGACTAAAGGCTTTTAACTACTTTAATTTTGTTTGATTAAAATGTTTTATAATTTTCAGCTTATAATTATTGAGTCCAATGGCTTAACTAGACTGATGAAGTGTCAAATATTTACTGCTTTTATGCACACATGTTCTTGTATTATCACGCAAAGTTAGTTTTTGTCCTTAAATTGTCCCGCGCCTATCGATATTTTTTTCAGCCAGTGCATTTGAGCTGGACATGTATAGGTGTAGGACTTATTTGCATGCATGATTAGGGAGCTATTTTTCAAACAATTTGATTGGAAAACTTTATTTTTAGTTGCACTTTCAGTCTGACATCTGTTTTTTGTGCAGCCACCATGTTCTTGATGAAGCTGAGAGGTCATTACATGATAGCACACTCTTCTTCATCACTGTCACTTAGAGATCCACCTTTCTCCGTTGTTAAACTCTAACAAAGAAGAGACGGGTTTTGTTGATTTTTTGGATGCGGATTCAGATCTGTGATTGTTTTGGTGGTGGCGTCGCTTGAGCTCACTGATGTTGTTTGGTGAATGTCAGTGACGGTGGTGATTTCTTTGGTTAAGGTCAGTTATTGGAAATGGAATGCAACCAGAAAATAGTGGATTGGACACTTATTGTATTTTAGCATCTGCCAAAAAGAGGAGTAAAGAATAAAATAGTGAAGTTGACTATAGCATATAGAAAAATAATCTGAACTGGATTTTAACTATTTTACTAAAATAAACTTGTTTAAGTCGGATGGTAGACTTAAAAACCAAACTTTATTTTTGATTTCATTTAGGTTTTTGTTAACCACCCCATCAACACCCCTACCCTTGACAGCTAGCTTTTAAGGAGTGCTTTGGGACTTAGCAGTGTGTAATAATATTACACAGGGATGAAAAGCAGTGATTTACCAATGTTTATGTTGTGTACTTAAAAAAAGTATTCTATTGGATGCTAGTTCATCATCATGCTTCCTTTCTATACTTTTTGGCTAATATAGTTTGACATGTATGTACTTGTGGTAGGTTGGAGACATGTCTGAAAGGGGGATTTGTGAAGCATTCAAAGTCAAGCAGGCTGTATTGCTATTTGCAACAGAGGCAGTTGAGATGATCCTTAGAGTTGATGAAATCATAACTTGTGCTCCAAGGAGGAGAGAAGACAGAATGTAATCTAGTGATCATCAAACTTTAGATGCTTGCTACACCTTGGCAAAATCTGACTTATTCTGGAAAAAATATTATTTGCGACCGCAACCAATTAAAGAATTGGTGCCCTTACAGTTTGAATCTACTGGTCATTATTGAACTTGTTATGTGCTTGTTTAAAATTTGATGATTATGTATATCTCATGTTTGGCCTTGGTGCTAGCTTTTTGTTCTTTTAAAATATTCTGGTAAAATATTTTGTTCACAAATATTTCATCTATTTCAAATTAAATCTTTCACTTTCTTAGCACTAAAACAATTTCTAATAAATAAAACTTATAAAAGAAGGAGAAGACGAAAGAAAAAGAGTGAGATAGGAGAAGAAAGGCACAATCCATAGGCCTAGTTGCTTGTCGCTTCCTAATTGATTAGATCAGCAACTTAATCGATTAGATTACATCAAATAAGGAAATCCTAATGCAACATCAATTAATAGATATAAGGCTATCTAATAGGTTAGGAGACATTACTCTTGTTTTAATTACTCTTGTTTTAATCGATTAGATAAAGGTTTAGTCGGTTAGATAATGAGTTTTATTTTTCTAATTGATCACAAGTGTTAAGGAAAAGATGAAGAGTTTGAAATAGTTTTGGTGCATATGTGTATGGTCTTGGTACTTCAAGTCTTACTATTGCTTAAATTATATTCAAGTGATCAAATACAAGATAAAACACCAAAAGAAGGATCATGCAAGCTTTTACAACTTCACAGTTTTTTTCTATTATCTAATTTAACTTTGTTTATATCTTTCAATTGGAGCTTGAAGTATTTGGTCTGGTGTTTGCTTCTTGATTGATATGTTTGTGATTTTTTTAAATTTATTTATTCAGTTATTGTCATCAAAACCTTTTAAAGACATTAATTTACACAACACATAAAATCACAATGGATATTCCAGAGACCATTCTCATATTTCAACTTATGAGTGGTCTACCAAGTGGAAGTTCATCTTCATCCTAAAGAAAGCAACAATGACTTAATTCAAGGGATTGAAACCCAAATCCATCACCTTTTGGTCTCAACTGTGTAAGTGTTTCATAATCCATTTTATTGCTATTGACATGTCAGAAACTAAAAGACAAAGTTTCGATCACAAAGCATATTAAGAATTTCAATATCCGAATCAAAAACTCTAATACCAGTTGTTAGGAAAAACAAATACATAAAAAAAAGAGGAGTACAATAATAACACAAGAATTTAACGTGAAAACTCTAAAACTGAAGAAAAAACCTCAGTCGTTGTCAAATGACAACCAAAGAATAACGCTATGTGAAAAACATTACAATACATAATTTACTTTCAATCACCCCTAGGATCCTAGTACACCCACACCCCCAAAAAGAAATATTTAACTTCATCTCACAACAATCTAACACTAGAATATAAGAAAAAAAATCAAATACATGCTTAAAGTGCTTTTGGCAGATGCATCTTGAAATTAAGAATTTGAATCTTTTATAGCCTTGTACTCTCCCTTCTTTTGGTAGATGCATCTTGAAATTTAGCCTGTATATTTTCAACTAACACCAACAATAGATCTGGTGGATTTAGGCAAAACCAAGATAAAATCTGATGTATTGTCCTCTAATTTCTCTTATATTTAATTTACAGTTTTATCTACTTGTTTTTCTATTCATCTCATTAAAATCAATCTTAAAACTATTTAGTTTTAAAAATTTAAACCATTTTTATATCATTCAACCC